TTCTTTTGAATTTTACCCGCAGCTCTCACAGTGTAGAGGTCACCATCAGTCTTATTTACTTTGTTTTTAAAGTGATTGGCACAACACCAGCCAGAATAGCCACTGTTCTATTCTTTCAGATTAACGTCACATTAAAAGTGGGGGCCTTTCCTAGAAGTCTTGCTCAGGTAATGCTCCTAGATCCTTTACTTAAAGTTGTGTTAGTTGTACTCGGCTTAACACATGTTTGTTTTTTCAGAACTCCTTTTTTGAGTGTTTTTTTGGTGCCTAGTACTTTATACATTACAGGTGCAGCAATTTATGACTGTTCGATTACGTAGGTGTTTTATGGCCAAATTCATACTCGTAATTGGTTGTCTAATAATCTTTGCTATAATCCTGTGTTTTCCTCCTTATTTTTGTCCCTACGGGAAAGTTTCTCACTCAGGCAAATCACCCGCTTGGGTACTCTGGTACTTTGGTCTGTCTCCGGGCTATTACGCCTAATCTTTGCAATCTGAACTTAGGAGGACGTACTGGACCATAGTTCCTCTCATATCTAGGACTTTACTGTATGTTTGGACCCGCACAGCAGTTCTCGTCAGTATTGACACTCTCCGCATCCCTATGCTTCGGGTAGATATCATGGTACTTACACAGGTAGGGACTTTACTATTATTTTCCAGAACACAAAGAATGATAACTATCTAGTTAAGTAGGACACCTCTTGCCCATATCCTTATCATTTATAGAGTACCGGGTAAGAAATCCCTAAATCCTATGTACAACCTCAAAACATGTTGGTGAATAGATGGCAGAGTGAACGGGCAGAATCTTCTGCCTAAGCAGGCGATTACAGTAACAGTGTCCTACTCTTGCCTCCCCCCCTTCCTGTGTTTGTGTTGTGACAGGTTGTGGTATCGCAGCTATGTATGATTCTCCCTCACGTAAATAAACAAAATTGCTGCTATTGGCCTTGCAGTGTGTAAGTCGCAGGTGGAAACAAATGAAAATCTATATAAATAAAAATGGAAATGTTCGTTTGTTCAAAATCGCTAATCTCCGAAAGTTCTTCTTCTTCAAAGATTACTTTGAAATTTTCACACAACGTTCCATTCGCATCCGAGCAAGTTTTTATATACATACTATTTAGATGCCACGTCTGTGACGGGAACAAAACATGCTGTTTTTGAAAAACTGTGTATTTTCATGTAATTTTCATGCGAGGGAAATCTTCGAAACCACTTTACCGATTTCTTTGAAATTTTGACACAACGTTGCATTCGAATAATCGAATGCTTATATGTATATACCTACTATATACATGCCTCACCTGTGACACAAAAAAACACTTTTTTTTTTTTTTAACAGCACCATCTATTGAATGTAAGAGCAACACACACGGAAATCTCCAAACGTTCTTCACTGATTGCTTTGAAATTTTAATACAACGTTCCATTCGAATACCTGAGAATTTTTATATACCTGCTATATCGATGCCACACCTGTGACAGGTAAAACCACGCTTTTTTTTTTTTTTTTTTTTTTAAACATTTCAATGTTTCCAATTGCATTGATAAATTTAATTATTTTCAAATAATTTCGATTTATTTTCATTTTGATTTAATTATTTTATGTGGCATTGTGTTGGAATTGAGCTGTGTTGCTTACCATACCATTCATTTCATGAGTATAGTTTATTATTTTTTTCATTGATTTTCATTTCGTTTTTAAACTGCTTTTCTTATATTTAAGTGATGGGAACATCAGATCATATGATGTTCCCAATTTTCTGATGGGAACATTAGATAATTTGGGAATGCATCGGACAAGGGAGTAGGGAATGGTGGGAAGGACGAGGAGAGAGGAGGGGAGGAAGGTGAGAAGGACGAGGGGACAAGGGAGGGGGTAATGATGGGAAGGATTAGGGTACAGGGGAGTTGAGGATGGTGGGGTCAAGGGGACAAGGGAGTGGAGAATGATGGGGGAGGATAAGGGAACAAAAAAGTGGGGGATGGTGGGGAAGGCGAGGGGATGGTGAAGGGGGGGAATTGTAGGGAGAACGAGGGGCTGGGGAGTGGGAAATGGTTAGGAGGACGAGGACACGGTAGAGTGGGGAGGACAAAGGGATGGGGTAGGGGGGGATTGGTGGGGAGGACGAGGGGACGCGGGAGTGGGAAATGGTCAAGAGGACGAGGAGACGGGGAGTGGGGAATGGTGCGGAGGGCTAGAGGATAGGGAAGGTTGCTGTGGTTCCGGCAAAAAAGCAAAAAGACATGCTTTTTCTGAAAAAAACTGTTTTTCATGTGAGGGAAATCTTCGAAACCTCTTTACCGATTGCTTTGAAATTTTAACACAACGTTGCATTCGAATAGGCGCATCTTTTTATATATCTACTATATACATGCTTCACCTGTGACAGAAAACATGCTTTTTTTAAATACAGCGCCATCTGTTGGACGTAGGAGCAACACACGCTGTAATCTCCGAAAGTTCTTCACAAATTGATTTGAAATTTTTATACAATGTTGCAATCGAATGGGGGCGTCTTTTTATATACCTACTATGTAGATGCCACCCCTGTGACAGGTAAAAACATGCGTTTTTGAAAAACAGTGCCATCTGTTGCACATAATGGCAACATGCACGCTATACCAAATATGTCTCGAAATCCATTTCAATGTTTCCGATTGCATTGATAAATTTTATTTTCATAGATTTCGATTTATTTGATTTTTTAGTGAATTATATTGTGTGACATTGTGTTGGAATTGAACTGCGTTGTTTACCATACCGTTCATTTCATAATAATAATAATAATAATAGATGCCACACCTGTGGCAGGTAAAACTATGTTTTTCTTGAAAAACAACGCCATCTGTTGCATGTAAGAGCAACACACTCGTTATACTAGATATGTTAAAATTCCATTTCAGTGTTTCTGATTGCATTGATAAATTGAATTTTCATATTTTTATTTATTTTTATTTTTATTTAATTATTGTGTGAAATTCGTTGGAATTGTATATTAAAATGCGTGAGTATAGTTTATTTTTATATTTTTTCATATTTGCATTTAATTTTTTAACAGTTTTTCTTATATTTCAGTGATGGGAGCATCAGATTACTAGATGTTCCCAATTTTCTGAGGGAACATCAGACCATTTGGGAAGGCATCGGATGAGGGAGTGGGGAATAGTGGGGATGACGAGGGGACGGAATTGAGAGATGGTGCTGAGAACGAGTGGACAAGGGATGGGGTAATGGTGGGAAAGGATAGGGGGTCGAGGGAGTTTGGGATGGTGGGGACGAGGGGATTGGGAAATGGAGAATGGTGGGGAGGACAAAGGGACAGGGGAGTGGGGCATGGTGGGAAGGAAGAGGAAATGGTGGAGCGGGGAATGGTGGGGAGAACGAGGGGACGGTGTAGTGGGGAATGGTTGGGAGGCCGAGGAGACGGGTGAGGGGGAAATGGTCAGGAGGACTGGGGGACAGGGAAGCTGGCTGTGTGCGTTGCTGAGCCACAGCAACGCGTGGCCGGGTACTGGTAGCATATAAATAAAAATGGTAATGTTCGTTTGTGTATAACTGCTAAGCTCCGAAAGTTCTTCATCGATTGCTTTGAAATTTTCACACAACGTTCCATTTGCATCCGAGCAGGATTTTATATACATGCTATATAGATGTCATGTCTGTGACGGTAAAAATAACATGCTTTTTCTGAGAAACTGTTTTTCCATGTATTTTTAATGCGAGAGAAATCTTCGAAACCTCTTTACCGATTGCTTTGAAATTTTGACACAACGTTGCATTCGAATAGGCGCATCTTTTTGTGTCTACTATATAAATACCTCACCTGAGACAGGAAAAAACATGTTTTTTTGAAAAACACCGCCATCTGTTGGACGTAAGAGCAACACACGCTGTTATCTCCGAAAGTTCTTCACTGATTGCTTTGAAATTTTGACACAACGTTGCATATGAATTGGCACGTCTTTTCATATACCTTCTATATAGATGCCATGTGGGACATTTGGGGCTTGACTCTATTTATTTAAATATTAATGTAATGAAATTCTATTACGAAGGACCACCCACTTTTATAGTAAAGAGGGAAACTAATAAAATATGATAATTAGAAAATTCCTAGATGAACCAGTAACTATGGATAATACTAGAGAATATGATCACTTATATAAATTAATGGGCTGTATATTTAACTGAATCAAAGCCTCAAACACCTACATTGGGGGGTTATTACTGGAACTTCATATATGTCCAGGAACTAGTGTGGTTCGTGCACCAGTTCATTATGCAATAATCTAATCCTATGACTAATTATAGAATCATTGTATTTGTCACCAATAAGAACATAGATTATAACATGAGAAATTAATAATTATAATAAACACATGTCAATCCAAAGAAACAGTGCTCTGCATGAATAATACTACAGATAATGGAATTTAAGGAATACGGAAAGGGTCTTAGCTTGAAGACGATTTACAAGAAGTCGGTTACGACTCATCCTCGGAATCTCCTGGACTCATCATGGAACACTGGGAGATGATTAACACGGGAAATGACAGCTCGGGGAATTCTTCACACACGCTGTAAATCAATTATATTCAGTAGCAACAGATTAAACTGCTAGACATCTATGTTCAAGAAAATTAAATTAAATAATGGAGGTAAATAATAACCTGTGGTTTTTTATAATCACTCTGCATAACGAAAAGCTACTCAGCTATAACCTCCTCCTAAATGATGCATCAAATGGGAATAAAGGTACTTAGCTAATAGGGCACTGTGTAAGTTAAGGCTTGCCGAAGTTCGCATCTAGTCTAGATGTTGACGCGCTTATCTGGCCGGTCACGTTGTGCTACACGGAACAAATTTAACAGGTTCCTGGCTGAATGTCAAATTAAATCTCTTGACAATTCAACACGATGTGTAAAGTGACACTGACACCAGCTAAGTTGTTGTCTGCAAAGGTTCTTCACACCTCACAGTGGCGACTTTCATCTGGGAGAGTAGGAGCGTGGAGCCAGTTGGGAGAGTAGGAGCGTGGAGCCAGTTGGGAGAGTCAGAGGGTGGAGCCAGTTGGGAGAGTAGGAGCGTGGAGCCAGCTGGGAGAGAAGGAGCGTGGAGCCAGCTGGGAGAGTCAGAGGGTGGAGCCAGTTGGGAGAGTAGGAGCGTGGAGCCAGCTGGGAGAGTAGGAGCGTGGAGCCAGTTGGGAGAGTAGGAGCGTGGAGCCAGTTGGGAGAGTCAGAGGGTGGAGCCAGTTGGGAGAGTAGGAGCGTGGAGCCAGTTGGGAGAGTAGGAGCGTGGAGCCAGTTGGGAGAGTAGGAGCGTGGAGCCAGTTGGGAGAGTAGGAGCGTGGAGCCAGTTGGGAGAGTAGGAGCGTGGAGCCAGTTGGGAGAGTCAGAGGGTGGAGCCAGTTGGGAGAGTAGGAGCGTGGAGCCAGCTGGGAGAGTCGGAGGGTGGAGCCAGTTGGGAGAGTAGGAGCGTGGAGCCAGTTGGGAGAGTAGGAGCGTGGAGCCAGCTGGGAGAGTCAGAGGGTGGAGCCAGCTGGGAGAGTCGGAGCGTGGAGCCAGTTGGGAGAGTAGGAGCGTGGAGCCAGCTGGGAGAGTCGGAGCGTGGAGCCAGTTGGGAGAGTAGGAGCGTGGAGCCAGCTGGGAGAGTAGGAGCGTGGAGCCAGTTGGGAGAGTAGAAGCGTGGAGCCAGCTGGGAGAGTCAGAGGGTGGAGCCAGCTGGAGAGTAGGAGCGTGGAGCCAGTTGGGAGAGTAGGAGCGTGGAGCCAGTTGGGAGAGTAGGAGCGTGGAGCCAGCTGGGAGAGTAGGAGCGTGGAGCCAGCTGGGAGAGTAGGAGCGTGGAGCCAGTTGGGAGAGTAGGAGCGTGGAGCCAGTTGGGAGAGTAGGAGCGTGGAGCCAGCTGGGAGAGTCGGAGGGTGGAGCCAGTTGGGAGAGTAGGAGCGTGGAGCCAGTTGGGAGAGTAGGAGCGTGGAGCCAGTTGGGAGAGTAGGAGCGTGGAGCCAGTTGGGAGAGTAGGAGCGTGGAGCCAGTTGGGAGAGTAGGAGCGTGGAGCCAGTTGGGAGAGTAGGAGCGTGGAGCCAGCTGGGAGAGTAGGAGCGTGGAGCCAGTTGGGAGAGTAGGAGCGTGGAGCCAGTTGGGAGAGTAGGAGCGTGGAGCCAGTTGGGAGAGTAGGAGCGTGGAGCCAGCTGGGAGAGTAGGAGCGTGGAGCCAGTTGGGAGAGTAGGAGCGTGGAGCCAGTTGGGAGAGTAGGAGCGTGGAGCCAGTTGGGAGAGTAGGAGCGTGGAGCCAGCTGGGAGAGTAGGAGCGTGGAGCCAGTTGGGAGAGTAGGAGCGTGGAGCCAGTTGGGAGAGTAGGAGCGTGGAGCCAGCTAGGAGAGTCAGAGGGGGGAGCCAGCTGGGAGAGTAGGAGCGTGGAGCCAGTTGGGAGAGTAGGAGCGTGGAGCCAGTTGGGAGAGTAGGAGCGTGGAGCCAGTTGGGAGAGTAGGAGCGTGGAGCCAGTTGGGAGAGTAGGAGCGTGGAGCCAGTTGGGAGAGTAGGAGCGTGGAGCCAGCTGGGAGAGTCAGAGCGTGGAGCCAGCTGGGAGAGTAGGAGCGTGGAGCCAGTTGGGAGAGTCAGAGGGTGGAGCCAGCTGGAGAGTAGGAGCGTGGAGCCAGCTGGGAGAGTCGGAGCGTGGAGCCAGTTGGGAGAGTAGGAGCGTGGAGCCAGTTGGGAGAGTAGGAGCGTGGAGCCAGCTGGGAGAGTCAGAGGGTGGAGCCAGTTGGGAGAGTCAGAGGGTGGAGCCAGCTGGGGGAGTCAGAGGGTGGAGCCAGTTGGGAGAGTCAGAGGGTGGAGCCAGTTGGGAGAGTCAGAGGGTGGAGCCAGCTGGGAGAGTCAGAGGGTGGAGCCAGTTGGGAGAGTCAGAGGGTGGAGCCAGCTGGGGGAGTCAGAGGGTGGAGCCAGCTGGGGGAGTCAGAGGGTGGAGCCAGCTGGGAGAGTCGGAGCGTGGAGCCAGTTGGGAGAGTCAGAGGGTGGAGCCAGTTGGGAGAGTCAGAGGGTGGAGCCAGCTGGGGGAGTCAGAGGGTGGAGCCAGTTGGGAGAGTCAGAGGGTGGAGCCAGTTGGGAGAGTCAGAGGGTGGAGCCAGCTGGGGGAGTCAGAGGGTGGAGCCAGTTGGGAGAGTCAGAGGGTGGAGCCAGCTGGGAGAGTCAGAGGGTGGAGCCAGCTGGGGGAGTCAGAGGGTGGAGCCAGTTGGGAGAGTCAGAGGGTGGAGCCAGCTGGGGGAGTCGGGGCGCAGAGCCAACTGTAGAGCCGGCCGAGTCAACCAAGCTGTGAGCCACGGGGTAACTGGGCCGGTCATCGACGCACACAAGAGCGGAGCTGAAGAGCCGGGTTTCGTGGCACAGAGGCAGACATGCGCAGTTTGTGAGGCCGGAGTTGGTGTAGATAGCAGGTGTCTGTGCCTCAAGAGAGAGAGTGGCACTGTGTCAGTGGGAGGAGTATCTTCCCTAGCTCTGTCTCGAGAGGGTGATTACCTCGGTAGTCAAACAGGTATAGGCAGCCCAGCTCTGTGGCATTAGAGTAGGAGTCTTGAGGTGGGTAGAATATAGTTGTGCATTAATTGGCTGTTGATTGCTGGTGTTGAATTCTTAATGTGTAGTGCCTCGCAAACGTCAAGCCGCCTGCTATCTCTGTATCTATCGATGATTTCTGTGTTGTTTACTAGGATTTCTCTGGCGATGGTTTGGTTGTGGGAAGAGATTATATGTTCCTTAATGGAGCCCTGTTGCTTATGCATCGTTAAACGCCTAGAAAGATATTTTCTTTTTCTAGGCGTTTAACGATGCATAAGCAACAGGGCTCCATTAAGGAACATATAATCTCTTCCCACAACCAAACTATCGCCAGAGAAATCCTAGTAAACAACACAGAAATCATCGATAGATACAGCGATACCAGGCGGCTTGACGTTTGCGAGGCACTACACATTAAGAAGTCAACACCAGCAATCAACAGCCAATTAATTCTACCCACCTTAAGACTCCGCTCCAACATAGAAGCATCAAGAAATATGGACCAATAGGCTTTCTACAATCACTTCTATTCAATACCCATTGTTTCGTGTTCTGTCTTGTGTTGATGAAATTAATACCCTATTAAATACCACCTCACCCCATCCACCTCACTCAAATGTAGATATAAACAAATCGGAGATGTGTAAGTTTTATTCAGTTGTGTATGTGTAAACTAAAGTCTTTGAAAATGTAATAAGTTTTACGAAACGCGCTCAAGTGTAGCGTCAGACTAGAAATAAAAATTAATTTTGGAGAATTGATTTTTGAATTACCACCAACAGTGAAAAGAAATGTACGAAAGATAGAGAAAATTCGTGTTAGAATTATTAATCTTACTTTTTCGGTCATATTTAATAATATATATATATATATATATATATATATATATATATATATATATATATATATATATATATATATATATATATATATATATATATATGTATATATATATATATATATATATATATATATATATATATATACATATATATATATACATATATATATATATATATATATATATATATATATATATATATATATATATATATATATGTATGTATATATATATATATATATATATATATTATATATATATATATATATATATATATATATATATATATATATATATATATATATATATATACATATATATATGTTCTTGTCTTGACCTTACTCTCATATCGATGACAAGAACAAGTCGATGCCAACACAGAAGACAATGTCCAACATATATATATATATATATATATATATATATATATATATATATATATATATATATATATATATATATGCGAACAAGCCTGAATGGTCCCCAGGACAATATGCAACTGAAAACTCACACCCCAGAAGTGACTCGAACCCATACTCCCAGGAGCCACGCAACTGGTATGTACAAGACGCCTTAATCCACTTGACCATCACGACCGGACAAAATGAGGTGATAGCCGAGGCTATTTGAACCACCCCACCGCCGGCACTCGGATAGTAATCTTGGGCATAGCATTTTACCAAATCACCTCATTCTTTGGGGCACACGTGAGGAACACAAATGCGAACAAGCCTGAATGGTCCCCAGGACAATAAGCAACTGAAAACTCACACCCCAGAAGTGACTCGAACCCATACTCCCAGGAGCCACGCAACTGGTATGTACAAGACGCCTTAATCCACTTGACCATCACGACCGGACAAAATGAGGTGATAGCCGAGGCTATTTGAACCACCCCACCGCCGGCACTCGGATAGTAATCTTGGGCATAGCATTTTACCAAATCACCTCATTCTTTGGGGCACACGTGAGGAACACAAATGCGAACAAGCCTGAATGGTCCCCAGGACAATATGCAACTGAAAATTCACACCCCAGAAGTGACTCGAACCCATGAGGTGAATAGGTGATTTGGTAAAATGCTATGCCCAAGATTACTATCCGAGTGCCGGCGGTGGGGTGGTTCAAATAGCCTCGGTTATCACCTCATTTTGTCCGGTCGTGATGGTCAAGTGAATTAAGGCGTCTTGTACATACCAGTTGCGTGGCTCCTGGGAGTATGGGTTCGAGTCACTTCTGGGGTGTGAGTTTTCAGTTATATATATATATATATTATATATATATATATACATACATATATATATATATATATATATATATATATATATATATATATATATATATATATATATATATATATATATATATATATATATAAGGTGCAGTTTTAGGCCTCACCCTGAACCCTTCTAAATGTGAAATAATATGTTCCAACCAGGGCATCGTAGAGAGAATAGAGGGTCTTCTGCAAAATATCAATAAAACTAAACCTGAAGACAGCACACTCCTAGGAGCTCCACTGGGGTTGAGAGCCATCGATGAGGTCCTTGATAAGAAAATCGCCGACCTTAAGAGGATGGATGGGAGGATTGAGGATATTGATGCTCATGATGCACTCTACCTCATTACCAGATGTCTGTCCCTTCCCAGGTTAACCTACTTTCTGAGGTGTTCACCATCTTACAGCAGCCAAAAACTAAGTGAGTATGAACGGTTACTGAAATCAATGCTAGAAAAAGCCTTAACCTCTCTCTTGATGACCTACAGTGGAAACAAGCCTCTCTTCCCGTAAGACTTGGGGCCTCGGAGTTCGAACAGCAACGCAAATCGCTGTTCCAGCCTTCCTGTCCTCCTTATCAGCATCCGACGACCTTGTGAAGGAAATTCTACCTGCCGACTTACATCAGCAGGCAGGTGTACGTGATCCCAATTTTACACGCTGTCACAGAGTGGGACTCGCGTGCAGGCCCATCACCTCAACCACCATCCCCAAAAGCCCACAAGCAATCCAGCTGGGATGGCCCCATTGTAGACCAAGTTGCTGCAGAGTGCCTGGGTGCTGCAACAACACAACACGACATTGCTTGCCTCACAGCAGTAGCAGCCCCACATGCAGGGGATTTCCTGTTAGCAACCCCAATGTCGGCAACTGGCACGCGTCTCACACCACACGCCCTCCAAATTGCTGTGGCCCTTCGCCTTGCTGCCCCAATCCACACCAGATATAGGTGTATTTGCGGCGAGGTGGTGGCTGACAGGTACGGCCACCATGGCCTACTCTGCCAAAGCACAGGGGGACGGCACTCGAGGCACAGTGAAGTTAACAACATCATCAAGAGGAGCCTCACCACAGCTGGATGCCCAGCTGAAAGAGAGCCCCGTTACCTAACGCCCCATAACTCTGATGCTCTTGTTGGTCACCCGGATGGTATCACAGTGAACCCCTGGAAGAATGGCAAGCAGTTGGTATGGGACTACACGTGCGTATCAACCCTGGCTAACACATACAATAACCTCAGTGTTGCACAACCAGGTGGCGCTGCCACCCACAGGGAAGCAGCCAAATCCTGTAAGTATAGAGAACTGGATCACCACTACAATTTTGTCCCCATTGCTTCTGAGACACTCGGCGCCTGGGGTAAAAGTGCTACCAGTTTTTTTAAGGAACTGGGTTCTAGGCTCATTGAAACAACAAGGGACCCTAGAGCTGCCAGCTTTCTTTTCCAGCTCCTCAGCGTGGCGATACAGAGGGGAAATGCGCACTGCATCCAGGGTTCCTGCCCGCCATCTGAGGAGCTGGAGGAACTCGACAACCTATGATAACCATCTTTGTAACCGATATGTAACTCCTTTTTTGTAACAAGGTTCAAATAAAGCAAATATATATGTGTACATACAAAAGAATGGGGGGGGTAGGAGAAGATAATATTAGTGTTCAGTGAGAGACCACAAGGTCTCCTCTGAATACTTTTTATTTTTTTCTCCGAGCTATGGGTCCCCACATTGGCACCAGAGGTGGTACCCTCACAAATTTATATATATATATATAATATATATATATATATATATATATATATATATATATATATATATATATATATATATATATATATATATAATATATATATATATATATATATATATATATATATATATAATAT